TGATTACGAACGCACATCCTTATTCCTTACTCCGCTTGGCCTGAATTGATTTTTGTGCATACAAAAGGTACAGACTGGTAGATTACCGTCATTACCCCATCACCGGACAAGCAATAAATAAACCGAAACCTGCCTGTTTTCAAAATAAATGTTTAATTAAAATGAGTGGTGAGTTCAGGGATAGAACACAGAAATACTCACAACCCTATAAGCAAGAATCAAAAAAGGAGTTTCAAGAATGGTTGCAAAGTACTTTGAAAGAGCGACCAGTATGCACATTGTAGAAGTTGTAATATAGAACTATGCCCTCAAAAAACATGTTGTGTGCGTGCCCAATAAAATAACAGTTGTTTTTCATGACTCAAAGGTGCTTGATCTACCACTGATATTGGGACTGCATTTACATTATACCGAATTCAACGACACTATTTGCCGATTCCGTTTTTTTTTGCCGTTTCGGCAACACTGCAGATGTGCAGATCACTTTAAAAGCAATTGATATCGCAGACGTGTAATAGAAATAATAAGAAAATGTTTGGAGATATATTTTCATAAATAGGTATTTTTGATTCTGACTTTAATATCTAGACGATGAATAATAGGTGGATGCGGATACATTTACAAATATCGATGTTTTAGGACCCAGGAATGCAGAATGTGCTGTTTGTTTACATTTGGTGTGGATTTCTAGATCATAAATTGGCAAAAATTGTTTTTGATGTAGTAAAGGACGATGAACCAGTGGGAATACGTTTGATATCCTTTTTTTGCAAAATAACAAAAATCGGTACATTTATACAGGTACGTATTATGTACAACACCTTGTATGTGATATACAGAGAAAATCAGATTTCCATCCATGAGCTGTCGTCAAAAACAGTGAAAACATCCTACCAAATATAATAGCTAGAAAATCGATCTATTATTTCTCGCATTAGTCTATTTAAATAACAGCGTCTTTTCTGAAATGATAAAAAATTGGAACTCTATAACAGTTATCCTAATTCTAGAGTACAAAGACATTATATTACATCTATAATGTACCCTTATTTATAAGGCAACGACTTTATCCAACATTTCAATAGAAATCACTGATATTCAGAGAGCTTTGACAGCTTACGTTAAATTGCATTTCGATAAGGTCTTTTCCTATTGGTCCAACTGACTGTCAAATATTAATGGTGGTGAAATTGGCACTTACGTAATTATTTTATTGCCACGAGATTCTAGTTAGGAAGCTCAGTAGGCTCAAAAAACCATGAATACCAAATTGAATAATAAAACTTCCAAATGTTTTTATTGGATAAATATCGTGCAAGATATTATAGCAATATTATCCATATTATGCTCAACTGGGCTTAGCCAATCATCTGCTCGGATCACAGCCGCTATTTAGAAAAAGCAAGGTGTCCCACTAGTTCCAATATCGGGTATTTTGCCATTGCTGCTATTTGATGAAGACAATTTTTTGTATTTTTCACCTTCCATAATCACGAGTTAGGTAGAATTGTTCATGTAATATACCGTCAATAAATATTTACTTTAATTTTTTGCCTTATTCAATTTCTCCCTGTTTATTTACAATAACCGAGTGATTCACATCGCAACACAGATAGTATTTCTGTCTTGTCCAGTAAAATAGTACATCCAATACGATTGGCTCCTCGATACCTCTCCAGAGTAAAGAATGTCGGCCGATGTATTGGCTTGTCGCGTTGGTAGGCAATGGTAGGCAAATGAGCCAAAAGTATGCACTAAAGCTACACAATTCTTAGCGACAAGCAATGCAATGTAAACATGTAGGCTTGGTTCCTTCTAACCTATTCGAATTCGTTGGGCTATTCATATTGGCAAATGACTTCCTCTTCAGATGTCCTTCGTAATTGAAAGGATTTCCTTTTCATCTCATAGAGCCAAAGTAACATATTCAAGTATATGCCAACCATAATTGCCATCCATAGCTACTGGCCACCACATCACACAGTGGTCCAGAGCAACGTAAAGCTGGCAAAAATAAAATGCCATTTTGAAGCAGGACGACACTTCCTACGAGGGCTAGATGGGTACTGACCAAAATTGCATAACTATGATCATGGAGGTGGAAACCTTGCCTTGAAATGTATAAGATGCGATGTTATCAATCGAAACAATGATGGAATGCTGCAGAATTTGTGGAGATCATTACTGTTCATTTCAATCTAAAATGGAGCGCCGCTAGGACCGATCTGACATCGATCCTAAACAGATTTGACACAACTCACAAGTCAAAAATATGAACACTCAACAAAACCATTGTTTGGGCACACAGAATAAACTTACGGAAAATTTCCAACATGCATCTTGATTAAAGGTACTGGTGTAACATATTGGCAGTTCGGCAGATTGCTGCGTCAGCGTCGCTAGAAAACGTGGTGATGAGCTCCTCTACCCAGCTGGCTTCTATCTCTATCTAATATATGTGTGTATAGACTATACACACTCCTCTTTCGTACTCATTGAACTGAGGGCGTCAGACGAATTTGGTTTTCAGTGTATACAGGATTCAGTACAGCAGAGTTCATTGAGTCACTAATGTCTAATCCAGGGCTAGTTTGGCAGCATTTTCACAAGGATACGTTCAGTAAAAGTCGGTTAGCTGAGCCAAGCCATATGTCATTTAGGCTTTTGTAGCTGCTGAATCCGAATCAAAGATCATTTAGTTACTATAAGGGCATCTAAAGATCATTTCAAGGCCGGTTAAAGCACAAGTCTAAATTAGAGATGGAAGCATATGGAGGAAGGCGTTTGAAGGAAATGTTAAGGTCACCCAAAGGACAAATGAAGAAGGTGAGTCTATTCCCATTACTTGCAGTTTATGAGATTTTATTTCTAAATAGTGTGTAAAAGTCAGCAAGAATTGACTTCATTTTATCAGCCAGTACTTCAAGGTCCATAAACATCACTATCCCCCATTCAGGGCAAAGGACAAAGACTCGTTAAAAACCCGTCAGAATAATGCTGACATGAAAAAGTGAAGACAAAAATACTTATTCGGTCAATATGAAAACAACAGTAGTAGCAGACGCTTTATTATATCAAATGATAGTTAGTACACCCTGTATTATCAGCCATATTCAGATGTTCAGATGTCCCAACATATAATGATGATACAGAACCTCTGGTAGCCGAAATCTGTTACAATAAGCAGAAATCAAAACGACAGAAACGCATTTCACATCGTTTGGTCTTCATCAAACCGCATTTGTACTTGTTCTACTTTAAATCTATCAACCCATTTTCTCGGCCTCAGTTTGGATTCTACCACAACTCATCTACTAACAAGTTTTAAATGAGTTTATCAAAACCATTGACACTGCACTGGGAAACATTGCACTTATACGATTTCGGCAGCAATACTGTAGATACACTTAATTCATTTCCTTCACCAGACAACAATATGTACCTTTCAGAAACTGCAAATCAAAAAATACATCGATTTATCAAGGAGTTTCGCTAGGGACGATCCTAGGTCCGATCCTACTTTTAAACTATGTTAATGATTTACCAAACTGTAATATTAACAAATGCATCCTGCTGCAGACGACACCACAACACTAGCCGTTAACAAGAATTTCCATGGACTTTTTAGAGAATCTCAAGAATATCATTCTAAAATTCAAAATTGGTTTGTAGCTATGAAATTATCAATTAATTCAAATAAGTCACAATCTCTCGTAACAACCACTCGCCCACATGCTAGCAAAGTTCCTCGGTGTTCTCATCGAATCCAATTTGACGTGGGATCACAACATTATCGAGTAAGCTTTCCAGAATCACATATTGAATCAGAAATCTACATGATTCAGTATCATAGCCGCTGTCCGCCTACGACGCATACTTTCAATCCAGCATACAATACTGTATATTAAAATGGAGATACTTTACGCATGTTCCATAGGTTTTCACAGTTCAGAGGAGATGCGTGAGAATTATTGCAAATTTAAATTTCCGTCAATGATGCAAGCAAGGTTTCATAATCTTGAATATCTTCACGGTCCCTAGCATACAAGTGTATATCTTAGAGCATTGATTCCCAAAGTGGTCTATATCGACCCCTAGGGGTCTATGACAACCTGCAAGGGGTCTACGTCAGCGAAAAAAAATTTGGGGTCCATGAAATGAATATGGGGGTCCACGATAGTGGATCTCAACACATACACTGATAGTACCTATTTACTTACATCATACTATTTTATAATATCAAAACATATACATTATTTATAAAAGTACCTGTGAAGTAAAACATTTATTATATATGTTTATAAAATTGTGTATGTTGTAGGATGTTGGTATTCGCTTTGTGGTCGCAATACATTTTGAACTTGAAAAGACCTGAGAGTCGCAGTCTCAGAGCTTCACAACCTTGCACTGACTTGTTCAATTCGTCACTCTATAAATACGAATGTGGGACAAATACGTTTATTCGTTTCCTGAATCTTGAAAAGGAAAGTGCTAAGAAAATATTTTAAAAAATATAAACAGATAGTATATCACACAAATTATAGTGATTCAGTGTTATTTTGTTTGAGAGTACTTGAAAAAAGTAAGTACATTATTTTTTATTAAATTTTAGTTTTGTACTCGTAGTTAGCAAAGATAGATAAATTACGCCAATCACGACTTTAGTTATTAGTAGTTAAATATTCAATCATGCAAAATTACACGAGTACTCCTCAATAGTTTCTTTTTGAAAGTTTTGGGAATCGGTAATATAATTACAGTGCAATCTCCGTAATTCGAGCTAATTGTTGCAAGAAGATGTTCGAATTATGGAATGTTTTCGGAAAAATCAAAAAATATTTTTAATAAACAGCTGCTGGATTTTCTGTCTTATTTAAATAATTTAATTTTGCCCACAGATGACTGATGCCATGTCCGAATCTAAAAAGAAATGTAGACAGTACAGTGTTGATTATTTGAAATTTGGCTTCAGTCCATCATTGCCGGACAAACAATCGCCTATGTGCCTTTTATGCAACAAAGTTTTGGGCAATGACGCTATGAAACCATCTAAACTGCAAGATCATCTGAGAAGATGCCACCCTGATAAAACAGAGAAAGATTTGAAATACTTTCAAACACTCAAAGATAAATTTCAGAAGAGACCTACACTGGACAGAATGTTCGCTTCGACGTCACAAAGAAATGATGATGGTTTGCGGGCGTCTTACAATATCTCGTTACTTATACCAAAATCCGGAAAACCGCATACTATCGGAGAGAAGTTAATTTTGCCAGCCGTTGGAGAGGTTTTAAAAACTGTTTTACACAAACCTGCATCTGAGATCATTAAAAGAATCCCCTTAAGCAACAATACTGTTGAAAGACGTATTGATGAAATGAGTTCTGCTATTGAAAGCTTCTTATGTAATTACTTGCAAACGACCCATTTCTCTATACAACTGGACGAGTCAACTTTACCTGATAATGCAGCATTATTATTGGCATATGTTCGTTTTATTATGAATCAAGAAATCTACGAAGAACTGCTCTTCGCAAGAACTTTGATAACCGACACTAAAGGTGAATCAATGTTTCATGTTTTGAAGGATTACTTCATTGAAAAAGCAATTCCTTTATCAAATATAATATCAGTAGCTACAGATGGAGCACCTGCCATGGTTGGACGTTATCGTGGATTTATAAGCTATTTAAAACAAAATGTGTCAGGGGTGTTAGCAATACATTGCGTCATCCATCGACAACATTGAGTTGCTAAAAATTTGAGTGTTAGAATGCATGAATCACTTCATTTAGTCATTTGCAATCAGCAATTCGGGCTGCAAAACAACATACCCATTACTTATCCCGTATTATGGAATATAGCGAGGAAATTTTTAATTTCCTTTCCATCGTCATACCTAGTGGAAAGGGGGTTCAGCGCTGTTACCAATCTCCTAACGAAAAAAAGAAACAGACTGGACATCATTAGCCGAGGAGATTTAAGATTAAACCTTACAAAATTGACGCCAAATGTTGATAATTTATTATTAAAGCATCAGGTTAATCCTTCTCACTAAAAATATTGACTTATTGCTTATGTTATTTTATTTATAGTTTATTTTATGTTTATTGGTGTCTGACCAATAAATGCTCGCATTGGGAATAAGTGCCCGCATTGATTTTTTTAAAGAAGAAATATATAGATATAGAAAATATTTTTTTTAATTATTCTGAAAATTCAAGGATAGGTACACACTAAAATTCGTTAATTTTTTGCCTATTTTTAGATAACTTAAACGTATAAGAAGCGGAATTTAATCAAACTAACAGTGAAATTATTGTAGAACATACGTTTATGTTATAATTAATAAGCGAACTCGCTTATTGTACTATTTTAAGTAAACAACTTTTTTTTATTATTTTTCACTTTTTTTTTATTTTATCCCTCTTATTTTTTTTCAATGCGGGCACTTATTCCCAATGCGGGCACTTATTGGTCAGACACCTGTTTATTTAATGTTACGTATATTTTACATAACAGATACAAAATTTTATTTTGAGTAGTTTTAATTTAAATTCAATTAATAAATGTATAAATTAACATGTGTTTTTACTTTAAGTTTTTAACACTAAACTTCACTACAGTTAGAAATTTACAGGAAATCAATATCAGGTAAGTAGGGGGTCTACCCAACACTGAAAAACATGGCAAGGGGTCTACGACACAAAAAAGTTTGGGGAACTCTGTCTTAGAGTAAGTGCTATATGTGTAGATATGTTGAGAAGCGCCAGGCTGAATATTTAATTCCAGGAGGAACTCACAGATACAACACCAGGGGCTTGATTTTAAATGAGTTTCGAACGTTGAAATTGATTTCGATGGCGCCTTGTGACGATATACTTGTTAAGCTATGATAATTTTGACACTGCCATGATAATTTGAATATAGAAGATCAATATAATCAGATGTCAAAATTATCAGAACGAATCAAGTATATCGCCACAAGCCGCCATCGAAATCAATTTCAACGGTCGAAACTCATTTAGAATCAAGCCCCAGAACTCACAGTGGTATAGTTCCAGAATATACGAGACTTGCAAAAACTAGTTATGGAGCCAATAACTATGGAGTCTAATTGTTCAATCTGCTATCAGCCAGGTACAAAATGGTGAATGAAATAAATTTTAGGAAGACTGTGAAAATCTACTTTGTAGAAAAAGCATTTTCTAGCATAACTGAATCTTTAAATAATAATTTTAGCGATATGGTTATATTTGTATTGCTGTTAATATTTTTTTGCGTCTTTGTCGGCTTGTGATTTGAACTTAATATGGATCATGTCTAGGTGCATCGACTGTGTTATACACATTGTCGTTTTGTGAGACTGGTCATATACCGGGTGTGCACGATAAGGATCCTATGAATGAGGATCTCAATACCTGTGGGAGATACAGATTAGGTTAAATAAGGAGAAAGCTGCGTTCTTTGGTGCGTATTTACATGCAGTTGGGAAACTTGTGAGAATTTCATGTGTTTTTTATTTTTCATTTTATTTAAGTAGGTGATATGTAATGAATGATTTTTTCCTTATAACCAAGAAAATAAATGTAACATTAGATACCTCGTTGGATTCGTATAAAAATGCCATTAGACACAGAGTGTACTTTTTTCGGACCATATAAAAATTAAAGTTGATGATGGCTTCTCAAAAACAAACCGTCGGAAAAAATATAAAAACACGATCATGTAGTCCCTGAAAAGTGCTAATAAAAAGTTTCATTGGTTTTTGATATTTCTTAAAATAAAGCTAGGAAAAATTAAAGCGATATGGCCAAATTTTAGCTTTTACAAAATATCTTAGTAAGTCACGACATATTTACAAGTTCCTCAACGGCATGTCAATACGTCCAAAAAACGCAACTTTCGGTCTCGATACCTGTGGGGCGCTTAGGATCCTTATCTTGGACACCCTGTACACAGGGTGGCCCATCCATGCCTGGACGGAATATTACTCATAAACAAATACATTTTGGGAAAATCTATTTATGGCATGTTATACATGACGTTTGAATACACATTTTTAAAATATGTTGAATTATACAGGGTATCCCAATTTTGACCTACATATCAAAGTTGTGATTTTTTAAATAGAATGCCTCAAATTTTATTGCATATATGAATAAACCAATTCAAAAGAAGAAGATTAATATGACATACTATGGGGTTTTGGTCAGTAGCTACTGAGATGTAAGGTGTTTTGTCCAGAAAAACCGTCCACTTCGGCAACCCCTCAATCCGCCATTTTGAATTTGGAGTGCTGAATTTTGTGTCAAAAAAGCTTACACACCTCAGCTTTTATCGTATTTGTTTCTTTTTCGAATTTTTATTTTCGCTCATACATGGTGGTCAAAAACGCGAATTGTACTTTTTCTCAGAAATTTCAAATTCACCACCCTGTGTATATTTGTACAAGCTTGGATTCAATATTAAATAAGCTTTTTTGTGGTATCAGGTTTGATTCAGATGGAAACAAAAGACAAACAATGGGCTAGTTCCATATTGCCACTAAGAGTACAGATTTGCCGTAAAAACTAATAACAATAAGATCAGTATGAATCAGCTTCAAGCGTAATAGAGAAAAACAACTATAACAACAACATAAACAAACAACTATCACTACTCAAGACCTAATCTACAAAAAATGCTCGAAAATATCTTGAATACACAGCCGTAGTCTTTGGATAAATGACCATTGCAAATTCCTCAGCATGTGTTCCCGTATGTTCAGAAAAGCATCCTTAATCCTTTCCTTCATATTTTGCGGGGTAGATGGTGGATATGTATAAACCTCTTGATTAACGTAGGCCCATAGAAAGAAGTCCATCGGTGTCATATCTGGTGATCTATTAGGCCACGATATAGGCCCATCATGACCGATCCAACGATTGCTACTCCAGGTGTCCAAATAGTTACGCACATGATTATGATAATGCGCAGGTGGGCCGTCATGTTGGAAGTACATATGGATCCGAGTTTGCAGATTGACATCCTCCAAAAGCAAAAAAAGCTCATAAAAAATTGAATCCAAACTTGCACAAATATACAGGGTGACGCATTTGAAATTTTTGAGAAAAAGTACAATTCGCGTTTTTGACCACCCTGTATGAGCAAAAATGAAAATTCGGAAAAGTAATAAATAAGATAAGAGCTGAGGTGCGTAGGTTTTTTTTTTATACAAAATTCAGCACTCCAAATTTCAAAATAACGGATTGAGGAGTTGCCGAAATGGTCGGGTTTTCTGGACAAAACACCTTACATCTCAGCAGCTAATTACCAAAACTCCATAGTATGTCATATCAATCTTCTTTTGAGTTGGTTTATCCAAATATGCAATAAAATTTGAGGCATTTCATTTAAAAAATCACAACTTTGATATGTAGGTCATAACTGGGACACCCTGTATAATTGCCAATATTTTAGATATGTGCCCTCAACTATCATGTATAACATGTCATAAATATATTTTCCCAAAATGTATTTGTTTATGAGTAATATTCCGTCCACACATGGATGGGCCACCCTGTATAGTACACAGCTAATATTTTTTGATGTCTCTAAGGCCTTGACATGTGTAAGCGCATATTTATTCTTAGCTATGATTATTATTACTTATTTCAGTTGAATGCTCAGCTTTATACTACTGAGTATGTAGAGTGCAGGCTGCTCGACCAATTCGCTCTATTCGTCTGCATTTAAGGATTTTCTGACTATACGGCATGTATTAAATATTGCCGCCTCTTGAAATGTTATATAAATGTTCTATATATCTAGTCCAATTAGACCTAGATTTTTCCTCAGATTTTAGGTACCAAACCTGTGTTAGATATGATTATAGATACTATCTTTAAGCCCTTCGATTGCCATGTTCGGCTAATCTCATACTTCAGGTCAGTATATTTATGTATTTTCTCCTGGTTGACGTTCAATGAATTGTTTGTATTAGAGACTGCTAATATCTATTATGAATGTTCTTTTTGTCTTTCTATTGGATACTATTTCTGGTCTACTATTGTGTATAGTTTTATCGGTGAGTATAGGGCGATCGTAGTACAGCTTGAAATTTTCATTTTCTATCACAGATTCTGGTGTTATCTTTACGAAGTAATCCATTTCGAATAGCTAGAATTTGGTGAATTATGTAAGCTATTTGATTATGTTTTATGCTGTATGTTTTATGTTTTTATACGGCACATTCGACACACATGTCATCCTCCGTTGTTGGGTCGTTTATGATGTACTTCTTGTAGGTTTTGGTGTTTATGACTTGATGTTGGATGGCCATCATGTAATCAGTGGCTCATGGAAAAAGCTCTCCTATGGTAAGCCATGCATTCGAAGCCGTCAAGTCGACACGTGTGCTTTCTAGTTCTTGAGCATGTCTTCCATGTATCGCTTTGGTCTGCTATATGTTGAGTCTCTCGTCTACCGTTCTTATGCATTCACGGGGCTGTGTCTGTATGTCGTATGATTTAAGAATACTATGCTCTTTCTCAGCGTTGCATATACTGCTGTGTAAGCCCGAGTTAAGTTTTTGGTTATAGAAGTATTCTCTTAACGAAGTTATCTGAGAATTGTGTAGGTTCTCTATGCTTGTAATTCCAAGCCCGTCCATTCTTTTTGGTAGCGTGAGCCTTTCTACACTGGAATTCTTGTAATGCGTCTGGTGTCTCGCCAACTCGGTCTTGTTATTCTCTGCAATTATTGTAA